TTGAGGGTTGGTTTTATTTCCTTGTTTGGCCCAAGTGGAGGGCGTTGAGTTGACCTACAGGTGACAGACAGCCATAGCACTGCCACTTCGCCAGTATTGTGTCCTGCTACTCTCCTTACTGCCCCCGAGGGACCACCTCCTGGGAGAGAAGGCCAATGTAGGGCGAAATTTTTCAGGCCTTTTCAGGATTTCAGGTTATTTGGACATTCAACTCCAATTCATTTGTAGTGGGAGATTACGGCTTTCCTTGCCTTTTTCTCGCCTCATTTTTGTCTTCCTGCTACATGAAGAGGCATCTCTCAGGGCTCATGTTGCATACAGGCTGAACTTGTCATCTTCTGTTTCACATTTTGCTGTCCTCCGAATTACATTTTGCTCTGTGGTTCTTTGCACATCAATGAGGTTTAAATGTGGACATGTAACTGTTTGGGAAGTGTGACACTTTGCTTGATAAAAGCAGTGCGGCCCGTGCATTGTGCAGCACTTTGAAGTTTGGATAATGAGTATAATCTCTGGTTGGGGTTGGTTCACTGTCAACTCAATTGATTCAAAATGAAAATAAAAAACACACTTATAATACAGCATTTGTTGTTAATCATTGGAGAACTTCAGCATGCCATGAGCTGGCTTTGGAAGACAAATACACTTCTTGAATTAAAACTAAATTGAAGTGACCAATTATTCGTCCAGACTACGAGTTCCTTACTCTGCCAAGTTTGGAAATCTGTGGAAACCTATTGTACAGATGTGACTGCAGATGTTTGCAGTTGCAGACCCGTCGTAATGTCACTGAATCTACAACTGTGTTATTGTGATGATGTTGCCTTAAAGTGGTGTGACACAGTTGGCAGAGATGTAGTGTTAAAAGGGATCCTCCCTGTATTAAAGAGGGAAGTGCACTCGTTATTCACACATGCTGATCAAGGCCACGAGCCTGAAAACAGTTCATCTCCAGCGGGAATAAATTTGAAACTGTTCCAGTAAAATGCAACCCTATACTCTCACAGTCATGAACACAGTAATAATCAGCATACAGCATTTGGACTGCTGACCAAAACCCTCAAATCTAGCCAACAAATGTAACAGGCAGTAAGTCGAGCCCAACTGGATTTTTTAGGCTAATACTGATATTGGTATTTTTCTGAATACAGTTTACAATTGTTACAATTGTAATGCCATACATATAAATGTCATAATCTTCCAGTAATATTGATCTAGCTCTAGCATGGATGTACAAAGAAAACTGGATACAGTGTTGAGGGCAAGACTTCGCTCATTCCTACGAAAGTTGCTCAGTGGTGCAAGCAGAAAAGGTTTGATTTCTGTGGTATGAAATTTCCCGGATCTTCCGGATCATTGGGCCCATAGAACAAGCTTACTAGAGACTTACAGTGGTCGAGCAGCTAAATTTTGGTGATTGCTGCGTTCACATGGATTCAGGCAGAAGGTAGACGGCATTCGGAAAACACCTTCTGAATGGCACGGGAAAAACAAACAAACTCTGACAGAATGGACGATAAAATGAAACACGCATGATGAAATGGTAATGCTGTATTGTTTAAATAATTATTTAATGGAGATTATTTTATAAAGTTTTTCCAGTAATGTCCGGTAATTGTCCAGATTGCCCATGTTTTTGTCTCGTGTGAGGGAACCATCTAATATTTGGTTGTAAATTCCATTGCAAAAGATGGCAAAAAGTTAAAATATTTTAACTTTGAATGGCAATGCCGTCTACCATTACAGCTGCCAGTATTCTCTGCCGCTCTCACTTAATTCTACCGTACTGCTCTCATCAGCTAAAATGACATCCGGTTTACCATCTGCTGGATTACATGTGAACGCAGCGTTAGCCCTCTGCTAATTTGAATGGGGATAAAAATAATTTAATTGTTGGGTCGTCTAGACTTGTGAATATTTTAAGACCAAATTGATCATATTCTTCAGACATCTCTTTCTGCAGTGCAAATCAAAGGGAAAAAGTCTTTTTGTGCCCTGCGGCATCACATGACAGACCCAGAAGTTGTAATTCCATGTTGGGCCACAATTGAAAATTGGCTTAAAAAAAGTGGTTTCTGTCATTTTTGGGAGTTCCTGTCACACTGATGTATGTTCAAGTGTTCATCTTTCTGATAAGTTTGTTTGTATTTATTTATTTATTGCTATAAAATGCAGGTGTGACTTCATGATTGACAGCATGTGTCATTCAGTGTGCCTGCGATCAATGCCACTGCTTGTGATTGGGTCTGACAGGTGTATTGGTGGGACCTTGATACCGCAGCTCCACCTACCGATCAGGAAGTGGCTCCGAAAGGGCAACATGGCAGTGCCCATATCTGGGATGATCATTTTTGTACCATGGGGGAAGTTGAGAAACCATCTTTATATGCAGCGTATGATGTGAACGAGCATAATTAAAATCTGCAGCTCAAAGGTCTAGAGTATGCAGATCCACCACAGCAACACGTGTCTTGTGCCTATGAGGGTGACAAAAAGAAAAGAATGAAAATGTAAATTTGAATGCTCGTGTAAAAACTATCTTCATGCATATTCTTACACCAAGTCTGGCCAGTCTGGAGTGTGTTGAAATGCCAAGGGGACGAGTTTTTGTTCCGTAACAGAGTCCAGGCTGGAAAGTGAGTTTTTGAAAGAACATGGTGTTTTGAAACGGGACAATGTGCAGGAACCCTTAAGTGTTCACACAGAATCCTTTTACCTGTCACTCAATGTTCCTCGGCAGCAGATTAGCCTGAGCTCAGCCCTGAGAGAGAGAGGACATGTTTGGACAACACCTGACATGACAGGCTGCTTAGCCATCTCCATTAGAGCCAATGAGAGCTGAGAAAAAGCAGACCGCCTCAGTCTCCAAATTGGTGCCAGTGGGGTCAAGTTGCAGGAATATGCCAATTACTTAAATTGATCAGGAGACGGTTTCCTTGATAACCAATTTGATCAAGCTGCCGATCGTGTTACACGTGTCGCGCTGCACGGGCACTGAACAGGACGTCTCAGAAATTGGTTACAACGCACTAAAAAGGCTAAATGCAATTCCTTCTGTGAGAGTAATTCTGTTTCGTCATGTCAGGTGGTGGACGGAGCCGCAGCCATGGTCTGTAAACAATGGCGTTTCAGTTGATTTAATTAGGCAGGGAGGAAGTATTTAGGGGCTTAATTGAGATTGCAGTGGGAAATTGCTCTGAAATAGGTCTACCTGATTTTTTTTCTCCTCTCCTCACAGTGGGCATGACGAGGGATTTCACTCTCCTCTTTGTAGATAATTAGAATAACCATAATCACTCCCTGGATGGCCTGTGATTGGAGGGAGCCACATGCCAAACTCAAAATATGAAGAGTGTGTATGTTTCCAAGTGTGTGCCTGCGTGCTGTCTGCTCCTCACGTGGGTGTGGAAGTATGCACATACATGCCTTCACGAGGGTTTTCTACATGCACAGAGTCTTTTCTGTGCCTCAGATGGCAGCATTGCTCCTTGTGCTGTGTATGTCCACTGCTATGTTTTGCTCATTTCTTTTCCAGCTGCAACAATAAGTCGAAAATGATTAGCAACTATTCTGATAATCATTTAATCGTCTTGAGTCATTTTATAAAAGGAAAAAAAAAGTCCCCAAATTCTTGGGATACAGCTTTTAAAATATGAATAGTTTCTGCTTTATTTAGTTTTCTGTAATTGTAAACTGAATATCTGTGGATATTAGACTATTTGTCAGACCAAACACGATACTTGAAAGTGCAGAGGTGTGAACTTGAGTCAAAGCACAAATTTGGTGACTTTAGTATGAACTGGACAAAATTAAAAATAGATTGCAAACTGACTTGGACTTAAACACCAATGAGTGCTGACTTCACTTGTACTGGAGCCTTTTAACTTGAAAATATTTGATACTTTCCCCCAAATCCGAAGATTAAAAGGTGTTTTTTGTTTTTAAAGATCAATTAGTTTCACTTGATTTTTTTTTTTTTTGTTGTTGTTGTTGACATTTTTCATTTTATTTAATTTTCGACATTAAACATGCAACCACATGCAATAGCACATTAAAGGACAAACAGTCTTACAGAAAAAGTCTCACAAATATGGAGAGAGTGAAAAATTAACATTTTTCCAATATGAGATGAGATTAATACAGCAAGACCAAAGAGAAACATACATATTTAATTCTGATTCATGTTGCTGTATGATATGAAAGTGCACTGTCAGCACTACTTTTTTAAAATGATTAAGTTCACTCGCACTTGTTTTAACTGATAAAATTTTAAAAAGCATTCATAGTAAAGTAAAGAGCATATTATGACTTGTTTCAGACTCGAATCTCAAAGTTAAGGACTTAGGTCTCAACTCAGGACTTGCTTGTCTTGACTTGGGACTTGAGTGAAAAAACTCGAGGCTTACTTGTGACTTGCCAAGCAATAACTTGGTCCAACCTCTGCGATGTTGCCATCTTGGGGTTTGGGAAATTGTGACGTGGATTTTGTCTGCCAATTTTATAGACTAAATAACCTGCTGATTAATCTAGAAAATAATTGATTGATTAATTTATATTGGAAATAATAGTAGTTGCACCTTTTTTCATCCTGGGTGTATTGATTCTGACCCTATTAGCAAAGTTAAATTAATGCTGCAACACATTTCTGGGTACAGTGCCATTTTTTGTGATGGAACATTATAATTTTACAAGATCTCTGTCAGGAGCCTTTTATGTATGTTTTTAATAGTTTCACAAACTGATTGCGTTTATATTTTTTTAGGAATGGCATTTTTATATCTAACTATATGTTTTCAAATATGTGCACTATTTTGAAGGCTGTAGTTTGTGATGCTGTCTAACTGCTTTGCATTGTACTGGAAGTTGTTTCTAATATTCTGTCCACCCCAATTATATCATTGAGAGTAAAAAGGCATGCAAAGATGCAGTTTTTTTTGTAGAGGAGAAATCCACTTCCTGATGTGTGTTTGACTGACAGACGATTGTTTCTTCCTAACCAGGCATTTGGCTTCATGTCACGAGTGGCTCTGCTGGCGGAGAAGATGAACCATCACCCAGAATGGTTCAACGTTTATAATAAGGTAATGACTTTCTCCACATTATGGCCCAAATCACAATTTGTAATAGTGATTGAGGAGTCACTTACAGTGCTCAATTTGTTTAGTATCCATTACAGAAATCACGGCCTGCAGACTCAAACAGTGTTATCATGGCTACGTGTTTGAGTTACTGCCATATTCGCAATTCTACGGTTGGCTTATGACAAATTACAGACACACCGAGATCAATCAAACCCGGATAAAGTCAGATTTTTTCATGTCAAACAATCCTCGCTGGTTCTGGAGAGCTCTCCACTCAAAGCCTGAAACACACTCCGTTAGTCAGAACGACGAAAAAGCGCAGTAGCTTCACACTCTAATCCCGTCGTTTTTCTTGTGAAAAGCTCTGCAAATATCTCTACCTCCCCTCCACAGCCCCAACACTCACGCACACTCTCACTTTCCTTGCCTCAGAAATAAAGTAGTGGTTGATATGACAAACCCAGTCCCTGAAAATCTCTCAGCATTAGGCTGTAGCCACTGAGTTACTGTGTGGTGGACCGGGCCGCTCTGACAGGAATGCTGCTCCTAATCCACTCTTTATTAAAGTGGCTGTAGAATGGTGCTACAGGTCTCAGGGCCCCCACAGCACTTTCCACCAGACACTTACACATAAATCCCACTCTGACTGAGCTTCAGCCTTGACAAAATAGATGCAGTGTATACTGAGCTACTGCTAATGTTCTATTAATATTCATTCATGCTCTGCTCTGTTTTATCGGCTCTCAGTATTAAGATGGGAGTTTACAAACATTTCTCTCTGGGCCGGAGCTGCTCTCCAGGCAGTAACCTCATGGGCTGAGTCAAATGCAGCCTGCTGGACGTGGAATTGGAAGTGCGTTGAATTTATCACAGTTTCCTTCAAGTAACAGGACAATATCTGTAACTCTATGTGGATCAAGGCTTAAAAAAATAGTTCAACATTTGGGAAACACGCTAATTCACTTTCATTCCAAAACTGAGATCAGGAGATCGGTCTGGTGTCTGCACATTAAGTACAGAGTAGGGGCTGGCACAGTTTTTCACTACATGATTATTGTTGCCAAAAGAGTTTATGATAATGATATTATTGTGATTTCTATTGAATTTTTAAATTAATAATAACAATGCTATCAGTCATATTCATCTGACTGATAGTTCAGTTTTTTATTGTGCATTTTTTTCCTGTTTTGTTTTTTTTGGCAAGTGTGGGAGGTGGAGAACGAGTCTGTAACCATAACTATATAAAAGTGCACAAAAATAGCACTTAAGTGTACATAAAGGAACTTAATGTATTGTGAAAAGGCAGCCAGATGGTGTTGGAGAAGGGAGACAAATCGAATACTGAAAGAAATGGAAATGATTTAAGAGAAGCTGGATTATTTACACGACATCATCAATATTATTAACATAATATTAGTATTTCATTTTTGAATATCATGGTTATTGTCAATACTGGTATATTGGAACACCCCTAATACAGGGTCAGGATGTGGCTAGCCTAGCTTAGCATAAAGACCGGAAACAGGGCAAATATCTAGCCTGGTTCTGTCCAAAGTAAAAAAAATAAACATACCTAATAACACCTAAAGCGTTTTAGCAACAACAGCGGGGTGCAGTGCTTGTTCGCAACTCCCTTAAGTCCCGTCTTCCCAGTATTGTCACACCTAAAATATACCAAAACCTGGGCTCACTGGCAGAATCTGGCAACCAACGATGTAACTAGCAATGCAACACAGAAGTACTGCATCAGCGAATAAACTGTTATTTGTAGAGAATTACCTCCAACACCTCACTCACCATGAGGGTGGCTCAGGCTCAGGAGGTAGAACGTGTTGACTACTATTTGGGCAGTCGGAGGTTCGATCCAGTCCAGTGTTATCAAAGTGTCCTTGGGCAAAATACTGAACCCTGAATTTCTCTCCAAGGCTTTGCCATCGGTGTGCGAATGTACGTGTGAATGGTTATATTTAAGATCCTGATGAACAGATTGGCACCTTGCATGGCAGCCGCTGCCATCAGTGTATAAATGTGTGTGTGAATGGGTGAATGTGGCGTGTAGTGTAAAGCGCTTTGAGTGGACAGAAGACTAGAAAGGCGCTAAATGCAAGTCCAATTATAAAACTTAGCTTTTAAGTCAACAGGAGAAAAAGAGGTACAGTTATACTCACCGATGCTTATGCTGTTACAGGAATACTCTACCATAAAACTGTGTTATGATGAACAAATACTCAACTCTAGGACTTAAAAAGTGGCTCTGACAGTAGCAGCAGTTACAAGGGAGCCCAATTGTGGATAGTCACGGCTAAAAAAAAAATACATATATAAAAACATACAAAAAAAACACTCTGCCAACATAATCCACTTCTCCTTGATTCACACGAGTTCCTGAGTGAAGTATTTATTTTGACCAGACATCCCCTTTGTCATATAAATTTGTCAATTACATAACTTGCAATCTGAAATGTTTGGATTTTACCAACATTGTTTATTTATTTCATAGTAAAACTGTGATTACAGCCCCAATTTTCTGTTTGGTCGACATGCTGTTGCTTTGTAATTGCAAACAATGTGTATGTGTCCTCACAGGTCCAGATTACGTTGACTACACATGACTGTGGAGGACTGTCAAAACGGGACATCAAAATGGCCAAGTTTATTGACAAAATTGCACTTTCAATGTAAAAGTTTAAGTGTTAAATCAGAAGTCCACCTTGTTTCTCTGCTTTCAGTCACACCTCTGCTCAGTCAAAGAATTATTCCTCATATTGATCCACAGACCTCTGGTTGATCTTAAATAAAATCTGTAACAGAGTTTCTATTTTTGTGTTTTTATGTTGTTTGCAGCACATTTTGTACAAGCTTTCTGCAAGAATAAAACTTTGATTTTGTGAAGCGGTGTTGTCTCTGTAAACTGATTTACGGCAGTGTAGCTCTGCACTGACTCTTGAACAGGATGACATTTCTAAGGCTTTGGAGAAAACCTTGCTCTGTGGTTTAGATTCCACCTCTAACTGATTCTGGCAGATTTAATTTCGCTGTGTGTGTCACTGTGTGGTTTTCTTGTTTTCAGCAGTGTTTATTTTCACACATGGAATTAAAATGGAGCGTAATTGCTCTGCAGTACTCTGTCCGGTACTTGCCAGTGATCCAGAGGATACTTTTCCCTGTCAGTCCTCCACCAGACCACATGTTCTCCTTTTGGCCATGGAGAGTGGAGCGAAATGAGGAAGGGGGTCAAAGTCAGTAGGAAGGGGATTTATGTGATTTACGGTTTGGTAAGGGATGAGTCAGATAGGGCTGCTGTGTTTTCCTGACTGGATCGCCATCAGGAGAAGATCAGCAAAGAGAAAAGAGTGCAATAAAAGCCAATTCAGTAGAACTATGTTCATGCTGCCAACCTGTGTAGCAAAAAGCCTCTTTCTCTGTCCTCTCTGCACCTTTAGCCTGGAGAAGGGAAGCTAATGTGTGTAGCTCTTGTTCCCCTCAAGAATTAAGTAGGTGGTGTTATTACCTGAGGCAAGGTGCCGAACACCTAGAGTGCTCTGTTGGATGATCATGATTGCTCAAATTGGTTTAGTGTTCCTAAACAGTGAGTAATTATGTGTGCTCAGCATTTCCAGGTCAGGTCAAGGTGTAAGAATACATGTACAATAGCATTAAAGAAATAGTTCCACATTTTGGGATGTACATTTTTCACTTTCTTGCTGAGGTTTAGATGAGAAGATCGATACCACTCTCATGGCGGTTTGGTAGATGTGAAGCTAAGGGCAGCAGGCAGTTAGCTTAGCTTAGCACAAAGACTGAAAGCAGGGGGAAACAGCTAGCCTGGCTCTGTCCAAAGATATTACAATCCGCCTGCCAGCATCTCTAAAGACTAGCCTACTCTCAGATCCTGTTTATACCTGCTATTAACATGCATTTCGGTGAGCCGAACATAAGTGGACAGCTGAGATACATTGCCGTTCACACCTATCATGCCTCTCCAGTTGACCACTTATGTTTGGATTATGTCAATGCCTACGTCACCTCCAATAAAAGGTCAAAGTCAAAGGTATTGCTAGCAGTTGTGTTGGTATAGCTGGAGATATCGTTCTCAGCTGAATTCAGAATGTCTTCCTCCAGAAGGCAAAATGACAAACGGTCATGCAACACTTTGTCCAACTTGTTATATAGCGGTAGCACGCTGTCACCAAACAACCACCATGTCCTGCACTCATGACATTGTCCTTGTTGGGGACACATCAGGATGCACTAAAAGATATGTGGTCAAATGTGTCCCAGACCACCTCAGCAAGTGGTTTGAGTGATCAGATCACAATGCATCTTGGGGGTTGTTTATACTTGTATTTAGGGATGTCCACTTCTGATCAGAAACCCAAGACATGTTAATACCAGGTATAAACAAGCTCTCAAAAACTCTGTCAGAGCTGGTGTCCCTGTCATCTCATTGTGTTTCTACTTACTTTTACTTGTGCCCAACCTTACCCTAACCCCAAGCAGTTATTTCTGCTTTACCTAACCATAGTGGATGTCATTTAACTCATTTACATTTGGGCTACCCCTCAACAACTTTATGCAGGATTCAAACAGATGAGCTGAGCTGAGGACACTAACATCGACTTTTCTAGTACAGAAAGTAAAAAGCAAAGTGTTAAAATGTGGTAAGATGGCAATTTGACACGGCCCAGTCTGCTGTGGGTGTGTATCATCATATCGTGTGTGTGTGTGATATAAAGGAGAAGAGGTGCCTCCACCACGATTAGGAGCATGCTCGCCGGAAACAGTAAGATGCTAAGCAGAGACGGTCATTACAGTTAAAGCGAAATAGAATGGCCTTTATCTGCACTTTGATGATTCAGATGAATGTGCCACTCTCAACTCACTAATGCATTGTGAAAATGTTAAAATAAGGTGCACTTGTAATTCCTTAAATTAAAATGTCTCAACTTAAATGTTCCAATCACACACCACATGTCACAAAGTGCAGCGGCAGCAGAAAAGAGCATCCTGTCCTTCCTACATGAGTTGCTGTAACTCAGGTGTCAGAGTAGTTGGAAAATTTACAGATAACAAAATCCGCCATCCCTTTGGTGTAAAGCATCACAGATTGACTTGGTCAGATGAATGTTCAGTGTAGTTCACCTTCAAATCACCTCGTGTTGAGATAGGTCATTTGAAAAGCTGGTGTGTAACAGCTCTGTTCAAACACAGAAAAGTCAGTATGTAACCTGTGCTTGACTGTTGCTGTTAAAGCTCAGTTTTCCCTGTTTCTGTTAGGCCTCGACCAACAGGGTAACTTGAACCTCATGGACTATAGACTGCCTACATTTACATTAGATTAAATAATTTGTCAAAAATTCACAGTTTCGGCTTTTTACAGTGAAGGCCATCCAGGCCCACACACATGCTGGTGAGGTTAAAGCACATAGATATATATATCATATTGCAGATATGATTTGTGAGCATTTAACCCCATGTTCATTCATCTGTATAGTCAAGTTCATACTAAATTTAGAGAAAAGTTGCATCTGTTGTGTATTAAACCGCACAACACTGACCCACGCAGCCATCCGGCTAACTGCTTTCTGCACTGGAAGAAAACTGCAAGGCCGGAAACAATACGAGACCAACCTGGAAACCAACTTGCCTCTTGCATGAAATGTATTGGGTATGTCTTGTCTCAGGTGGACACACCAGCATGTCAACACCTTCATCTGCAGCAGCTCCTCCTTTGATGTTTGTTGGATCCGTGTTGGAACGCTGTCGGCAGAAGTACTCAGATACTTTATCTAAAATTACTGCAGTACAAATATAAGTTCAGCATTCCAAATCCTATTGAAGTAAAAGTAAATCAGTAAAAATAGCATGCAGCAAGTACTGTATATACACTTAGGTAGTTTAGTTCACTGGTTCCCAACCTCAGGCTCCGACTCACACCTGAGAGTCATAACATACATCTGAGGGGTCATAAGAACATTAATGGGGCAGGAAAGGGAAGAAATCAAAGTAAAACAATCTGAGTGGTTTAAAGGAGAAAGCTTGCTTTGGTGGACTTGCTAACAGCTTCTCTTAGACTTGGCTGCCAGCTGTAGCCTTATATTTTACAGACAGATGTAAGAGAGGTTTGATCTTATCATCTAATGCTTCTGTGAATAGGTCTATTTCCCAAAATGTGCACCTCCTGTAGGTCCAGAAAACATAACAAAAAAGAAAAACACTATTATGCATTTTGATGTCAAGTCCTTGATTTGGGCAAAATAACTGAATCTACTAGATCTATGAGAGGATGATGCACTATTCTTTCTAGATACAGTTGACGCTCAGGTGTCAGCAGATGCAGTTTTGAAAAATTATACAAAGCAAAAATAGTCAGCCCGTTGACGCTCACTTCCGTTGTTGCTTCTACGTTTGTGTTTTTGGTTAATGCCAACTCATCAAATTCTGACATTTGGTCAGTGGCCCTACATGTCAAAGTATGATGCTCAAGGTTCCCCTTTCAGCGTCAGTTTTGGACGTTAAGGGACGGCATATCAGTTTACTCTTGCTACATGCAGTGTACCTTTTCAAAATACACTTCTGTTTTCAAAGAAAATGTACAGTTAAATGCATACGGCCTTTCAACATAGGTGAAACATTGTTTTTAGATTCACTTCCTTAAAGTTATGGCAACTAAAGTACACGGTTAGTTTTGCTGAAAATAACTACGGTTGTTACTAAGATAATGCTATGTCACGTGACATACGACATGTGACATACATGTTGTTATTAAAGTAACTCAATTGACTTTTGATTTCACATGGGACACACACAACGGGCTCCAAGGTGAAAGTCTGGAGTTTGTTTGATCCACCCTATGCAGACGTTCTTGCTCTTTATGGTTCCTATGGTTCCTACTTGCTTACAGCATCTTAAATTGCTGCCACCCAGTGTGTATGATACTGCTACTGAAAGCGCCTCTGTGCTTCAGTGTCTGCCACCAAGGGCCAAGGTCCAAGTGTCGGTATTTGACGAGTTGGGAGTGAGGCCAGGCTGTAATCATGGATCTATAAAGAGATCTGGATACAGTGTTGGAGGCAGGCTCCTTTCATAATAATTACTAGGTGGTGCGTGAAGCCAAAATATTTCATTCTTTTAGGCAATTCTGAGCAACAAGCAGAAGAATTGGAAGACATTTAGGAATTTAGCAACACAATCTGCCTTTTGCATCAGCTGAGGCTTGAACTCACAACCTCTATCTCACTGAGCTAATTAGTCAGTGACAATTCATGTGTAGCTTCACAAATTGACTAAGCCAGACATGCAGGTTTAGTAGCCGTCCATGCATGGAAAAGCAGATTTCAAACCACTGTAAAAACTACAGTTATCGAAACAAAAATCTGAAAATAAACATATTGCATCTAGACAGCATGGAGATGTTGGTAATTTGTTTGTAACAATGATTGATTTGCTCCATAAGTGAAAAACTGATGTTTAAAATTACCATTTTTACATTGACTCCAATTGTTCACATTAGAGCAAAATTCAAAATGCTGTCAAAAATTCAGTTTTTGAGATAAAATTCTGAAATTTGCCACACATCATCTACCATGACTCTAGAATTTTGTCATTTTTTCATGAACATTGAAGATTTATTTAGCAAGAATTTGCATGTATATGTTTACAGTACCGTTTACAGTCAAACATTTTGATGCACTGTAGGCTCAATTTATGATAAATCAAAAATCTGAGAAACAGTTTTTGTAGGACAGTCTGAAGATGCTCTGTAGCAAGTTTGGTGTCAATTGAGCAAAAATTGTGGGAGGAGATAGGTTTAAGAAGTTTTACAGTTTTTGAAAAAAACAGAGTGATGAACTTCATAATGTTTAATAGGTTTAAATGTACAAAAGTTTCTT